AAGAAGAAGAAGAAGAAGAAGAAGAAGAAGAAGAAGAAGAAGAAGAAGAAGAAAAAGAAGAAGAAGAAGAAGAAGAAGAAGAAGAAGAATGGTGATAAAGACGAGGAAGGAGAGCAGGTGAAAAAGAAGAGGAGCACGAAGACGATGACAACGATGAGTAGGAAGTCGTACATCAAAAGAGATTGTGTTCCCATTATTAAGAACCACGATCTATCCTGTTTAATCACGGCCAACAACCATAATTTGCTAAGCCCCAGCTTTTTTAACATTACCCGCCTATCGTAGGCAACCTCAACAACTGTTCTCGTTCCGAAAGACAAAATCGTTCAGGAAGAAGAAAAAAAAAGCAGCTGATTAATTCATTTTATTTTAGATTTCGCCTTAATTAAAAAAGGAATTATACCTTTCTTCCCGCTTTTTTCAGCATTTAGAATTTAAATTTTCAACATAATATTTCTCCAGCAAAAGAGACCGAAACCACACATTAACAATCTGCAGTGAAGGAGAAAAAACCCACCCAAAACGTTTGGCTTATTACATGTAAAAGCTTGTCGATGTTAAAAAAAATAATGTGTCACTACACGATCGAATCAGTTGCTCGTCAATTTGGGGCACATAAATGTCCAGTTCAGCTGATGGCATCGCTTTGTTTCTTACAGGCAATATATAATTCTCGGAAACTCTATCAAATATTTCCCACCTATAGTCAGATCGTGCATTGCTAACCAGTTTTGTGTTCATTTTAATGAGATAGGTTAAGTAGGAACGGAGTCCTGGGGGAGTTTGTGATGCTGGCAAATTGGATGACAAAATCATCTACATAAAAAAACGGAAGAGCTTTCAGTGTTGTGACAGTCAGCTTACCGTACTTTAGAGTATTTAGTTTTAGTTCATTAAGAGTTCTATAGCACTTTCAACACGAAATGGGCATGTAAGTGTTGAAGATGTGAGGTGTTACGAGACAGTAAAGTACAACTAAATCAAGAAGTCAAGATAGAGACGATAAACGTTTGATAAGAAAAAGAAACATACCAGAGTACCCTCCAATCACCCACAATATGATCGTACTTGATTGGACCATAGAGGGAGTGGGACAGAGAAAGAGAGAGAGAGAGAGAGAGAGAGAGAGAGAGAGAGAGAGAGAGAGAGAGAGAGAGAGAGAGAGAGAGAGAGAGAAATAAGTTTTGGAGGGAAGGAGGAGAGCGAATGATACAGACCGATACAAACACACTGACTGACGGAGAGATTATAACAATTGTTACTCAGGATTCAATGTTCTTTCAAGGGGGAGACAATCCTTCAATCTTCAAGTTGAGAATAGAAACTAAGGATGTGAAAGGGCTTTTTTTTTTCTTTACCTTTTTAGTTTAAGTGAAAGCTTTACTTGTGCGGCACTCACATACCAATTAGGTCATTACGATTTAAGTGACAAAATTAGAGCTGTCACGACGAGTAATATACAAAGAAAAGAGGAGGAGAGACAAGGAAATAGTCTAGTTGTTTGTAAGGAAAGAGAGAGACAGTAAACCACACCAGACCACTCTCCAAACACCAACGTATTTTTAAAACATGAAATAAAAAAGAAACTATTCGAAAGAAAGCAATCAAATGGACTGCATTCAGGTGAGACTTTTACTGTGAACTGTTATAATAATAGTATGTGAAATGATGACATGTTGTTTACCTTTCATAACGCTGCTGGAAAATAAATGTGAAGTACCAATGGTCACAGTATCTATTCGGACCCGCCTCCGACGGAAATTGACCAATCGAAATGATTTGTGCCTCCATACCATGTAAAACATCCTGGGGGTTACTGGGTTTTAACTTTCAATTTGATATTTCGTAGTTAAGTTAGAAATTTTCTTGAAAATAATTGATTTGCGAATGTTTTAGCCACTATATGTGTGATCTGCAGCAAATAATACGCAGTTTGACCCCCCCAAGGCAGTGCATCTGTGTATGTCTCCGAATAATTCCTGGGTGTACGCCGGAGACGCCTACAAATATCTTCTGCAACCGATGGTCGTCACTCACGTAGAACGACTACAGACTGTTTGAAATAGAGCTGTGCGAGTATAGTCGTTTGAAATCGAGTGCGAGTCTCAGTAATTATGAAATATTGGAATGACTCATTACTCGAATCCTGAACACAGGCTCAATGTATCAACTGATGTATTTATTTTTTGCTTAGTGTTTTACGGCGCTCCAAACTGCAAACAGTCATATGAGACCGTGGGACACATTACACTTTTTCAGTAGGTAAGAAATCTTGAAATTTTGCCTGGGTGGCGCTGAAGCCTACTCTTATCTATTTTAAGACCACAAATGGATTTTTAACATGCGCAACTTCATCACGGGCCTTCCGAGACTTTTCGCCCTTGTCCAAGAAGGCTAGGTGTAGATATTTCCTACCTGAAGATCAGGGGTGTGGCTGAAAGACAGCAGTAAGAAGGAGCCAAGGAGTAGCAGTAGAAAGGCTGCAGAAAGAGTCAGGAGCCCAAAGGAGGGGGCAAAGGAGGTGAGGGGGTGAGGGCAGAAAGAGGAGACGATAGCAGACGATAGAATATTATTAGAGAGTCGGAAAGGAGGTGAAAGGAGACAATTTTAGAGAAAAATATTTTTCGGTCGCCACCCGAATTCGAACCTAGGACTTTTGAATGAGATGCCAACACCTTAACCTCTAGGCAACGAGAGACCTCAGTTGATATTATTAATAATAGTGAAAATAGTATACAATAAAATTGAAATTACTGAGATAATTTGTATACTGCTCAAAAAGAACAAAATGACCCCACCCCACACCCCACAAAAAAATGTAAATGCCGTAACAAACGAAAGTGATGAAAATTGCAATTTGTTTGTTTGACTAAACCCCCCCCCCCCCACCTCCCCACCCCCCACCAGTCCAAAACAATGAAAAATATGTTATAATATAATTATTATACAAAATCATTATACAAAAACTTTGACGTTTTGCATTCCAAATAGAACTTGAATATTCAAAAATTGCTCCAGCGTGTAATGAGCACAAAATACTCGAGTACTCGAATAGACCGTGTACTCGCACCGCCCTTCGATAACGTAGCCTACCTTTCATATGCAATGGTTTCCTTTGTGCAGTGTGTAGCCTTCTTGTGAAAATTGTTTGGAATTTTAAAACGAGAATTAAATCAATTTAGTTTAATGTACAGCTCCTTTTTTGCCAAATTATTGTAACATCTTTGTCAATGCGTGTTCAATACAGAGACATTCTTTTTTACAGTTACTCTAATACTGCCTGTCTACATCTTTTGCGATATATTATATTCGCAGCAAGTAATCATGGATGACATTAGATATTTGCAGGTTCGACAAATTAAAAACATTATAAGGAAAAAAGCTGATGCCAGGAAGGCGTTGATAACCACATCTACAGCAGTCTTAGGCTTTTTGTTTAAAACATCCTTTGCTGATTTCTGCTTTGCATTGTCCGTTGCACCCGGGCTAAACTTGTTTTCACGTTCAGAGCAAGAGCAAATGTTTGACGGTTTCGATTCTGAGAGTCGTTTCTTTGAATCCATGCTCATTTTTGAAGACATACGTTCTACGGATGTTCTCTCTGACTCTCCAGCACAATCCGTGCTGCCTCTTGACATCGAGGATGAGCGCTCCAACGGCGTTTTTGTGACTGAAGCCTGCTCCTCAACATCATGCTCTTTTCCCAAACTTTTGAGGCAAGGGAATCTGTTCGCGTTTGTCACACCAGAACTCCCCGGCAAGCTGCAAGTTGGGGTCCTTGTGGGAGAATGCTGGACTGTTTCTTTGGAAGGACAGCTGTTTACTTTCGAATGATCTGTCGTGGAAGAATGTTCTTGGTCGACTGTTTTGAAACAACTCACTCGACTTGACTGACCGACCATTGGAAGTCGTCCTGAGTCGTCTTCGCAAGAGGCGCTGATTCTTCTTGACATAGCTTCGGAAAAACGGTTTTCAGGGTCTTCACTTCTGGAAGATCTCGAGCTCTGCTCTGAACCTCTACTGGAGAACTGTTGGTGATCTTCTGATGAACCATTTCTTGAATCGGCCTGGAGGCTTTTACCCGAACCACGTTTTCCCCTGTATGACTTTTCGGACGGAGTAATCTCACTAGAGTGAGTTCTAGAATGGCGTTGAGTGTTCTGAGACTTCACGTTTAGTGGTTCATCCTCCTGAGCCTCATCATTGCCCGGCTCATTGTCGTAGAGCCCGCTACCTTCTGGGCTATCGTCTTGCTGTTCATTTCTGAGCTGTTTATTCTCATCTTCTTCGTTGATTCTTTCCTTCTGTCCATCAATTTGACTTTCTTCTATGTTTTGTTCAGCTTCTATGTTTTGTTCAGCATCTTGCTCAAGCCATTCTTCAACATTTTGGTCGTTCCGGTGAGTTTCAGATGTTTCATAATTTTCGGATTCCGTAGACGACTCGTCCGAGGATGTAGTTTCCGAACCGATATTACCATCCGGCTTTTGGGAAGACTGTGACGACCAATGAGATTCGTTGGTGTATGTGCTAGGGTTGTCAAATGCGTCATCTGATGATCTTAAGCTAATGTCGTCCTCGGCTATCACAATAACAAGAGCAGAACCGCTTCTCCATTGACGAGGCATTGTGTAAAAGCTTTCAAGTGAGTTTCGCTGTCGTTTCTGTTCCTTTTCTTCCTTCTAAGGATCTGCATTCTTCTGTGGGACCCTGCAACTTAAGGACTACGACTTGTAGTAAAACTCACAGGACATTTTGTAAGAGCTAATCTCTGTTCATGCGTCATTCTTCCGGACCAGAAATATTGGCCGGTGATTTCTGTTTCGTTGTTCTTCTTCAATTGAAAGATGTCAAAGCGAAGATGACGATCTAGTGAGGTGGTACATCCCCAGATGTGATATTCTGTGTTCGTTTTTGGAAATCAATGACACAATCAAGTGTCCTGACGTTCAGATGACCTTGTAGTTTGGTGATTTACACGCGTGACGTGTTTCACCTCTTCCTGTCAGGAATATCCCAGGCTGCGTCTCATGCGGCATTCCAGCAGGCAACAGGATGACGGCATGTAAGGTAAACGAAAACTCCCCACGTGGTATTTCTGAGAGGGGGAGGGCTGCTCATCCGCTTTAAGGCATAAACCTCCAGCGTTGTTATTCTCTCTCTGATGTCTGCTGGAATCGTACCAAATCCTGAAAGTCGAGAAACTACCATAAGACGAGAGTGGACAGACCATGAAGTAGCAACAGTATAATGCACACTGTCATATTAATCATAACTCATAGAATACATACTCCGCTACATCAAACTGTCAGCGTGTTCTGGTGGTTTAGAAATGCGTGTACGTTTTGAAAACTAGTTGATATTGAGGTGTATACCGACGCGGTGTCATCTCCAGAAAGTACGTATTTGTTGTTTTTTTTTTGTTTTTTGGTTGTTGTTGTTTCTTTTTCTTTTTTTTTGGGGGGGGTGGGGGTGATTGGCTACAAGGCAAAGCATTTATATAAGTGCCGATTGTATAAGTGAGGTACAACAGAGTAACACCCAAGGGAATGAGGGAGCAGAGATGAGAATAGTAGATGTTTCATTGGAAAGAAGAAGCAAACTACACCGGACCACCCGCCAACCGTCGTTTAAGAAAAAGAGAAAAAAAGACAAGGATGTGCATCGCCTAACTGTTGTCCTAACACACAGTACCACAAAGAATATCGCTTAAAAAAGTAGACCAGATAGATGTCTAGACCTATCTCAACCCTTTAGCCCAAACAACATGACACAGGTTTTAACTCCATGAGACGTAGTTTCGAAAAAGTGGGTTTCAAAGATTTACTCTTACATGTAAACTGGGTTACATCTATTTTGTATATCGCCCAACTGAACGAAATAAATTGTGTTAGCTAGTTGTTCTACATGTACATGTAATGTGTAGTGAAAAACTCAGTTCTCGAAAGAATGGAGTTGGAAGCAGAGGCGGTTTATTAACTACGTCAGACCAATGGAGCGAACACGTTTTGTCAGCTGGACAGTAGGCAAGAGATTTATTGTAGATACCAATTTTCATTCAGTTGAAAGTAAATCCAAACTAATCTCATCTATCAACACGCAAACAGCATTTTACATATTTGAATACGCTCACAAAAGACAAAGAGAGGCCTTACCGATGTGGTTTCGCACATACATAAACTCGTTCCTGCTTCTCTGTTTATCATGCTGGCTCGTTACTGTGTTGTACAACCTACTGTCACGATGTGCGACTTCGTATCGCGCAAAAAGCCCTCGTGAATATCGTATTTTTTCTTGCCAAGTTATTGGCTTTCGTTATGTTTACAAAAAACAAAACTGTCTCGAACAGTACATTTGGTTGTTGTTTTTTTGTTAGTAATATTACTATGATTACACAGGTCTTCGGTCACTGCTAGTACATGGATTGTCTGCGTGGATTTATTTGTTACCTCCTACAGAATTTTGAGCCACCCAAGATCCTTTTTAGTCTTCTTTTCACCGCCTTACTTGGCCCAAACTCCAGACAGGCTGTAGTATGGATTGCACAAATTAGTTTTAATTTGGGGGGTGGGGTGACAATTTTTGCAACTTGTGAGAGTTCTTGTAACTTGTAAAAGGTCTTGTAACTTGTGAGAGTTCTTGTAATTTGTGAGAGGCAAGAGGTACTCTTCGGACAGAGACAGGGTCTAAAAGAATCCCCAGCACCCGCCCCCCTTTCTTTGCTCTCATTCCAGCCAGACACAGAGTTCTGAAACCTGGATTCAATATACCCTTTGAGAAGTGCCTTGAAGAACGTTAGGCTGTGATCGGAAATTATTCATTGTGTGTGTCTTGATTATGTGCCTTGCAGGCGTTTTGTTTCGGTTGTTATACCTAGACGGAATCTGCATTGGACAGTGTCACTGGTATAGTTTCAATTATTTCTACATACTATCATAGTTACGCTCGTTAAAATTCAAATTATTTGCACAAGAATTTCTGAAGTACGAAAGAGGGCTCTACTTGTGTTTGTACGTGTGTGTTTGTGTATGTGTGTATGTGTGTGTGTGTGTGTGTGTGTGTGTGTGTGTGTGTTCGTGTGCATGTGTGTGTGTGTGTGTGTGTGTGTGTGTGTGAGAGAGAGAGAGAGAGAGAGAGAGAGAGAGAGAGAGAGAGAGAGAGAGACAAACAGACAGACAGACAGACAGACAGACAGAGAGAAGGGAGAAAGGGGGTGGGTGGCGTCTATGTGGGTCCATGAGTGTGTGCCTCTGGATATGATGAGGAAAGAGGGGGGATCAGGGACATAAACCCTGAGTGTGTATCCGGAATTTTTTCTGGAATCTCAATATTATCAAGAATGAAATCTGCACCGGACCCATGATTCAATCTTGATAATGTCTATATACACACAGCCTTTGGCACGCGTGAACGTTTCCAGAAAGGGTTGCAACAGGTAATAAAGCAATCGTCTCGGTGCACGCACGCTTTGTTCTTGTGGGATGTAGTTGAAAAGGCCACTGGCATTTTTGTTCTTGTGCGTGTTGCAATACGGGTTTTGTACAGTTAACAGTTAAGATCGAAACGCGTTGTGTGTGTGTGAGAGTGTATGTGCATGTGTGTGTGTGCATGTGTGTGTGTGCATG